TCTCAGCAGCCACTTCTTTGACCATTCTTGGCAAACATTTGTATGGAGGGGTGTACAACGTCAGGCATGTCATTTATAAAACAAACAAACAACAGCAGGCCCAAAACATTGCCCTGTGGTACCCAGCTTGTGACAGGTACAGATGATGATTCCATGCCATTAATCACCACACACTGCTTGTGGTCATGTAGAAAGTCTTCTATCCACGCTAGGACATTTCCCCGAATTCCACACCCTTCAAGTTTGATTTTCAGCCTTTCGTGGGGTACAATGTTGAAAGCCTTGGCAAAATCTAGGTACAGTAATACCCCGCTTAACGCAGTTTCGCTTAGCAGGATTTCACGTATACGCAGTGCCTCGCCAGAGCCGAACTTTCACTTAACGCGAGTTTTTTCCATGTATACGCGGAGAGTGTCCAGCTCGAGACGCTATTTTTAGATTCGCCCCACCCGCCTGCTCCCGCCTCCTCCCTCCGCCTGGGCAAGCCGCGCGCGGTAAGGTTGCGCAGTGCATGTCTCTGTTGCGTTATCACCGACATCATATGACGTATCGGACTGTGATTGGCCATGCATCCCTACCCCCCTCTGCTGCTAGCTGTAATTGGCTTAAAGTATTATGACGTGTCCACCCGGGGGAGGGAGGGAGGGAGGGAGGGAGGGAGGGAGGGAGGAAAGACGACGCTTCACCTAGCCGCGGCAGTTTCATCCTTCCAGGCCACTCCGTGTACATGTGAATCCATTGTTCTGTGAAATGGCTTCCGCCGGACCACCACCGCCACCAGAGAGAGACCTTTCCTTACCTGGATCCAGCCGCCCTAAGCCCAAGAAGACACGCCGTGGTCTAAGCTATGAAGTGAAATACCAGATCATTCAAGATTTGGAGAAAGGAACACGGCAAGTTGATCTCGCGCGCCAGCATGACGTCAACGAATCTACGATTCGCACTATCAAGAAGGATGCAGCCAAGATCAAAGAGCACATGAAAATCACAAAGTCTGCAGGTGCTTCAATGATCAAGTATTGCCAGAACAGGGTGCTGGCAAAAGTGGAAAATTTGCTGGTGAGTTATTTGATTCGTCAGGCGCGACGCAACATGGCGGTGGACACGCGCTCAGTGCAGGAGTACGCATGTGAACTATACGCAGCAGGGTCACGTAAGCTGGGAATTGCAGAGCCCAAACCCTTCAATGCTTCCTCTGGTTGGCTGCATAGGTTTAAGAAGAGGAACAAGATCACCAACATCAACATTGGTGGTGAGGAAGCGAGTGCTGATCGTGTGGCGGCTAGAGATTTTCCTCCGTTCTTACGTGAGATTATGGAGGAAGGACAGTACACCGACGACCAGGTGTTTAACATGGACGAATCTGGTCTTTTCTGGAAAAAGCTACCTTCCAAGACCTTCGTTGTAAAGAATGCCAGCAAGATTCGGGGCCGGAAGATGCAGAAGGAACGCATCACCGTCCTGTTTACCACCAATGCCTCCGGTACCTGTAAACCAAAGTTATCGGTGATTCACACAGCCCGCAAGCCGCACGCCTACAAGAATATGGACATGAACAAGCTTAATGTCCACTGGCTAACCGCACGTAAGGCGTGGATGTCCTCTTCTCTGTCCCTCTTCTGGTTTGACAACTGTTTTGTTCCCGACGTGAAGAAATTCTGCAAGCAACAGAATGTTCCATTCAACATTTTGTTGCTCCTTGACAACGCACCTGGACACTCGCCCCTACTTATGGATCGTCACCCCAACGTAAAAGTGGTCTTCCTTCCTCCCAACACTACGTCATTAATCCAGCCCATGGACCAGGAGTTGATCTGCAATGTGAAAGCTGCGTACTCTGCAAAGAAGTTCAAGCTCCTGAACGACTCTACCAACACCAAGGATGAGTTGCGTAAGATGGATGACACCGACAGCGAGAGTAAAAGCGACGAGGACAAGGAACAAGAGGTGGCGACTCAAGAAGTTCTCGTCAAACAATTTTGGAAGAAGTTTAACGTCAAACAAGCTGTAGACTTCTTGGTGGAGGCATGGGATCAGCTGTCTCTTGCTACGATTCGTCACGCATGGAGACATGTGTTGCATGGCATGCCAGCTGAGAAGAGGAGTGAACCTGTGACTGGTGAGGTTCAGACTGTTGCAGTAGCAGTGGACCTTGCCAGAGAAGCTGCGCTCAATATTACAGCTGAAGGCTTCTCCGAGACCACCAACGAAGACATCCTGGAGGTGATCAGAGATCCTGAAGTGACTGCCGACGAGATGTTGGAAGAAGATCACGTCAGTGAAGAGGAGGAAGAAGGTGCGTCATTCTCCGAAGAACACAGTTTAAGTCATAGTGATATTAAGGGTGCCATGGAGTGTGCAGAGAAAATGAAGTCCTTCCTTTCCCGCGACAATAACGATGACCGCTATGAAGTCTTCCATACCTGGCTGGTGCAGGCTATGGAGCCGTACATCAAGGTGTATCAAGACAACATAAACACCAGCCGTCAAAAAAGCATAACCGAGTTCTTCGCCCGCAACCCACCACAGCCAGCCCAAGCCAGTGATAGTGACAGAGGTAGAGACAGTGAAGATGACTTTGAGGGATTTGTCAGGGAGGCCATAACAAGTGTGGGTGACAGTGATGGTGACTCACCTGAGGGCCAGTAGCCTGCCCTCTGCCTCGGAACCAGCCTCCATCCCCGTACGCCGACCCATCTCTTCTACTAACGTAAGTGTTCAACATAACTTTTAGTTTTCCTAACCTAACCTTTATTTTTCCTAACTTAACCTTTATTTTTCCTAACCTAACCTCTTCTATATTACTTGTTTTTTCATACCATCATAAAGTTAAGATAAAATTTTTACTACAACATAGTTGTGTGTCGTCAAAAAGTGGAGTTTGGGGGTCGGGCCAGTTTCTATTGGAATTAATCCCATATGTTCTGTTGTTCACTTAGCGCGGTTTTCACTTAACACGGTACCCTGTGGGTTTTATTGACCGCGTTAAGCGGGGTACTACTGTATATATTGTCGATATTACCACCCCGTTCCAGAATATGGGTCCAAATATCCAGACCTTGAGCAATTGTGTTAAGCAGGCGCCCTGGCATAAAACCTTGTTTGCAATCCTTTACAAGGTTGTTTCATAGTAGATGTTCCATAGCATCTCTGATAATGCTCTCAGTACTTTACATATTAGGCTGATCAGGCTCACGATCTATATATTCTCAAATGATCAGCCTGTTATGGTTATTTTTGTCATTGATAATATTAAATATTAAATACTATTACATGTACTATAGAAAATGATGAAATATTGTGCCCAGGCTATTGGGTCCTCTGTGTGTGTCGGATACTACTACGTCTTAGGCTCCGCCCACCAAGGACTACCATCCTGAACCTTGAAATCAATTTAATTCTTGTCCTTGACAGCTCAGTCAGAGCATAGATTGAAAAGGGAATCTTAGGAAATGGAAATGAGTTTGTAGTCTTAGTTTCAAACGTCAACGTGTACAGTAACGTAGTACATTTAAATAGTTGGGGTGAGTGGAATTCGAGCTGAGAGGAGGAGGAGGAGCACCGACGCTCTCGGGCGTCAGTCCAGCGTCTGAAACCTCTCCACCCACAGGTAATGTCTAGCTCCATGTTATACCTCGCCACATTAAGTGATTTTGACTTAGTTAATAGTTTGAATATGCAAGTGATACAGTAACGTAACTGATGTGTTTTAATTGAAGTATTCTTACGCCCTTAGCGTCCTTTTGAAACGTTGATGTTCGTGTCAACAACCTCAGTCCAGCGTCCGAAACTCCTCTCAGCCAAGAGCCTTGTAGATTGGGACGACCTCCACACTAGTGTGAGAGATGGACGAAGACCAGTAAACTCGGGTAAATTCGTGAATACGAGCTTCTGGAACTAACCACCACCTCTGGGGTCCAGTCAACTGACCAGCTGTTCACCTGACGTGTTCGTTGTCCAGCTTGCTGATATCACAGGCCGAGCAAACACCACCAGCCCCCATCATTGTTATGGATGAGTCCACTACTCAGTAGGGCTATATGGTGGCTGTGATATTCTTCTGAGTACACCTGTATGTATTTACCTGAATTGTCGGAGTGTTTGGAGTCAGCAAGAGTAGGTTGACCATCACTTTGGTTGTGGGCAAAGGTACCACAGTGGTGAAGAGAAGCTACTAATTCTGGTGATGTTAAAGTATTAGTGTTGGTGCTGTAACTGGCCTCATTGCCACTTGTAATAATGGTGCTCAAATGTGCTATGTATCATGTGTGTTCTTGTACATGTACACCCAGTCATAGTGTAAGTAGAAAATGTACCTAAGTTTAACAGTACAAAACGAGTAAAGCCAGGGAGCTGACCCCTGTAGTTGAGTGTTACTGAAATTATTCATAAAATCTAACTTCATTTTAATAAACCATTTTATTTGTATGTTTAGGAGTATACTGCAGGAAACGTCTAGGGCCCCATCCATGATGAAAGGGTTAAGGAATAATAACTTTTCTGCGTTGATCTCTGATAATTTCCACACTTAGGAAAGCAAAATTAGCTTGTAAAACACATTAGTAACATAAATATTATAGATAATAAGAAAAAGATTACAATATTTGTCCGTGTTTTTATTACCGGGAAGAAAGCCAAGAAACTTCATTTATTTGATCGTTTAAAGGAAGGCACGAGCGCCGCCAAGGATGGCCGGTTGTTTGGTGTGAACAAATCAACATTGTGTGTATGTTACACAATCTCCAGGAATCGCCTCCCTGCAGTATGGGATGTCACTTTAAACACCAAACACATGGGAGGGTATTCCAGTCCCGGAGGCTTGGGGACAATGTTGCTGGTCTGCTCTCAAAAGTGGCAGCAGGATAGGAGCTATTATGTCTGAATCCTCCCTGGCAACCTACCCTGTTTGGGAAATCCTTTCCCTAGGACGAGGGGCCAAACACCACTCTGGTAAAGCGAACCAGATCATTGGGACCCCCCCCCTCCCACCCACCAAGGGGGCTCCCAGTGAGAGGGACCTTACAGAGAATGAATTCACCCCAGAAGTGACAAAGCTTAAATAGCTATACTTTTTTCTACCCGAAACCAAATTTAGCACACAATAGCCTCAATAATTTTAAGTGCTGACTAGTTACTCAAAGTTCTAATGAGACTTTTCAGATTTTTGGATAACAGCTGTCAAAGTCCCCTTCATGAGACAGATTGTACAGTGGTAGGGAAAAGTAATCCGTATATCCAAAAGGATTATCAGATCAACCCTGGGGTACATTAAAGGGGGCTGATGACTTATAACAACCACAAGAAAGCTGCCACATATTAAAGTTACTTGACTAAAAGTAGACTACAGAAAATGTCTTACCTTTGTAGTTCTGGTAGGCTTCACACTTAAGGCTCCTTGAAGGACATGATTCCCATCAGGATTTGTTGGTATTGACCTTTGGATCACTATTTTACTTGGCGGTGAGCTCATGTCACAAGCAAATCTTGATCTTTTCTTATTTTTCAATGGTTAGAACCGTTTTCGGGGCTGGCGATTTTTTTCTTCTGGTGATGTTGAATACTGTTCATGTAAGGCTCTTTTAGGGTATTGAATTGATCTATGCTTGGTTTTGGACTGGCCAGCTGCCATATATGAAATTTGCCTTTCTTCAGGGCTACTATCTACATCTGAAGTCTTTTTGTACGGGAGCCTCAGTGTTGTCATCTTTCAAGGGCGAGGCATATTCTTCAATACGTGTACTTTCCCCAGATTCACTGTCTGTTAAATTTTTTTGGTTAAAGCAAGGATCAGGAATAATCCACTGAACAACACTCTTGGCAGCCTGAGCTGGAGACTGTTCTGTCAAAGAATCCTTATTGCTAGGGGGCTTCAGTTTGGCAATATCTGCATCATTTTTTGTGGGTGAGGGGTTTAAATATAAATCAGGAGCAACACAATCTTGCAATTGCTGCATTTGATTGATATCATCTTCTGTTATATTTTCTGGTACAGGTATTGCAAAATTAAGCTGACCTTCAGCTTCTGAATTCTGGCTATCAACTTGGTTTGGTTTATTTCTGGTTATTGAGTGTGATATTTCCACCACAACTCCCCTATCAACGTCTATGCTATTTGAAAACAAATCTACAGAACTTGTTATTGCAGTACTTGGTTTATTAGCTTCAGGTTTTCTATTTTCTTTGCTGAGCTCACCCTGCATGCCATCCTTCTCCTGAGACACCTCAACACTGGTATGTTTCTTATTGAGAGGTATTACACTTTCAACAAGTGACCCTGTGTTGAACAGCTCCTCAGATAAAGTGTTTTGTATACCATCAATTTCATCACAATAAGTTTCTTGTGATGAATTTGACTTACAATATTCTTCCATTTCTAATTCATTGTTCCTGCTAGTACTTGCATCCTCCAAGTTTTCTACATTATCAAAATCTTGTGTTTCTGGTATAATAGTTATAAGTTCATTATTTTTTGGTTCTCTCTGTGTGTGATCCTGCAGTTCTGAGGCCTGTGTTTCTTCACAAACATCCACCCTTGAATCCGCCGACTCTAGTTCAAGCTTCCGTTGTACCATCCCCTCCTCTTCTGAATCACTTTCTGTGCATAAATCCGTTGACTCGTCTTCCCGATAATCTACATCTAAGGGTTGGAAACCTTCAGGCATTGCATTTTCACATCTTCCTGTACCATGTATAAATATTGGCAAGTTTACAGGAACTGGTTCTGAACTATTCAAACAATTTTGTCTTCCTGGAAAAATTACATGGGGCTCCTGTCTCTCTTCTACATCTATAAACTTAACTCCAACTCCAGTGCTTCTACTAAGTACATGTACCTGGAATAACAAAGGAGAACATATAACATACACAACCTCCACAAAGTAACAGCAACACTGTACAGTACTTGTCAACTCAGTACAACTACTGCAGCACCTTTTTCAAAACTGTGACCCTAAGTTTTGTCCAAGTGTAAATAGGCATCTGATGACATTGCTGGTTATTCTTGGCTGAACTGTTTACTAATGTTTGTAACTTTGTACATCTGGGTGGTTTTGAAATGATGGAATTTGAATTGAAGTGAAAAAAGTATTGTCTCAAGAATTGTTTATTACTTTATAATGCATTCTATTCTTCACTGTTTGGCTTTCTATTGTACTACAGTACTCAAGTATATCCTTTGTTTTTAGTATAAGAGCATTAAATATGTCTTCAATGTTTAATTCCTTAGAAAAGCTTTAAATACTCTAAATGTTTCACTAAATATGTTTTCAATTATCAATCAGTTAAGAAAGTCTAAACTGGCTAAAAACATTTATGTACTACATATTGGATTCGTGACACTCACGGGTTGGCTCCACAAGACTCGGGTCAACCATAATTTAGTATTGTAAGTGTTTGAAAAAATAGAATTAAATGTTCAAATAAGAAAAAAGTGGTGTCTTAAGGAATTCATTAGCGAATGTTTTGGTGCTGTAGTACCCTGTTCTAGCTCTCTCTCTCTCTCCCCTTCCAACATGCATCCCTCATCATTTACATGCTTCCATTCAATGGCTTGTATCAGGATTCATTTAGCACAAATTTGCCTGGCACAAAACTTTTTATGAACCTTTCTCTCACATCAAGTGTGGACTACCCGTAATTATGTGGTACTGTACAGTACAGTTGAGTCTGAATTTACGCGGTTTTGGTTTACGTGTTTGGTCATTTACAAGGTGCCTTGCCAGAATTGAAATGCTTGATTTACGAGGTAAATTTGGTCATTTACGCGAAGAGCATCTGGCAGTCCTGCCTTGCCGCGCCAATTTTGGATTCAAACCTCCTGCCATCTCGCCATGCTTGGGTAAGCGGCGCGAGTAAGGTTGCGCAGTGTATGTCTCTGTTGCGTTATCGGTGACGTCATATGACGTATCGGACTGTGATTGGGCCACGCATCCTTACCTCCCTCCGCCGCCAGCTATGATTGGTTTAATGTAATATGACGTGCCCTGTCACGGGAGGGAAGAAGCCGCTTGACCTAGCCGCGTCAGTTGCTCTCCTCCTAGTCACTCTGTGTAAACTGTGTTCTATTGTGCCCGATAATCTCGTAAGAATGGCTTCCACTGGACCCCCACCACCACAGAAAAATCTTGCATTACCTGGACCCAGCCGCCCTAAGCCAAAGAAGATACGACGTTCCCTAAGTTACGAAATGAAGTACAAAATCATACAAGATTTAGAAAAATGAACGACACAGGTTGATTTGGCGCGCCAGCATGGCGTGAACGAATCTACGATCAGGACGATCAAGAAGGATGCAGCTAAGATAAAAGAACACATGAACATCACAAAGTATGCAGGTGCTTCAATGGTGAAGTACTGCCAGAACAAGGTGCTGCTCAAGACGGAGAATTTAATTGTGAGCTACTTGATTCGTTAGGCAAGACGGAACATGGCGGTGGACACGTGGTCGGTTCAAGAGTACGCATGTAAACTGTACGTAGCAGTGGCACGTAAGATGGGAATTGCAGAGCACAAACCCTTCAATGCTTCCTCTGGATGACTGCAAGGGTTTAAGAAGAGGAACAAGATCACCAACAGCTAAGGTATTTTTGAGGCGCAAGGCTGCTAGCAAAAAAGTGTATGGGTATAAGCTTTTTGTCATAAAATCTGCTCTAATTGTGTTAAGAGAAATTTATTTTGTACCGTTGCATACATGGAAATGCATTCTTGATGACGTTATTTTTTACCTATGATATACAGTATATACAATATATTATATGAAGTGTACAGGTATTAATGGTATTTTATGAAAATACCATTACCACCAGAAGAGGCTATTCGAATTTGTCCATTTTTTCCCACAGATATTCTTGTCATCTTACCAATGTACAATATTAAGTACAGGCACTGTATTTTTAAAAGGTAATAGCTTTTTATTTCAATTATGCCCCCCCCCCCCCTATTACGATCATAAATCACCCACAGTGGGCAGGGCATGAACGATGAGGGAAATTGCAGGGCAAAACAGTGAAAAACTGTGACTGTGATCTCCTGTAATAATCTGGTTGATGGTGACGTTGGTTAGGTTAGATTTGGTCTGGTTTGGTTTGGTTAGGTTAGCTGTACCTAAGATTCACTCATGGAATGGGGGGCAATTGTCCCATGGGGAGGGGGGGGGGGGAGTAGCAGTTGTCCTAGAACCCCAAATATGTTCACAATTGGTAAGCAGACCTATTATTATCTAAAATAATGTTAAATAACACCCCATTTGCATAATGCAAATCATTTCAAGGCATTAGCACTTCAGAGAAGGTTAGAAAATTATTGCATATTTATTATAAAAGGTTGATATAAATACGTGCCTATATACACACAGTCCAGGGAGGAGGTAAAATGCTCGGGGAACCAATCAGCTATTTGTAGCTACAGACGTGGCTCACAGGCCAGGTTAGTGTGGAAAGGGTACAGTGTAGGTGGGACCTGAAGTGTACCCCTGGCTGTGACACCACTGACTGGTGAACATTTACAACACTGTACCTGTTTGAACATTATAAAATGCATGCCAGCATTTCAACCAAATGTCTCATTCCCAGAGGCAATGTTCTCTTTATGTTGTACTCTACAAGAGTACTGTTTTGTTTATTCTGTTAATCCTACACATCTTGGTGTAAGTTAAAGTGTAAGTGCTCTGTATAACATAGCAATAGACATCCAATTACACTACAACTGGTTTTCATGAAAACTTGTGTATAATTCTCCTGAAAGTGACAAAATACCTATTTTGACCAGTTTTGGCTTACTTGACCATCAAAACTACCTTTAAAGTCCAAGTTCAGGGTGGCATCCACCCACATATTTTCTCCAACCCCATATTCAATTGACTCGGCATGGATGCAAAATTTTAACAGAAAATATAAAGTCTACCATTTTTGGTAGGTAACCTCAAGAGCCATTAGCTGACCACTACAGTACAGTATAACGTATTAAATTACTCTAATAATTCACAAAAAATAAATCATTTTGTATCCATTTATTTATCAAAATGCAAATTTAAGGCAACATACTTCCTAAACCTCCTTGCAGGGCCCGGGTCGGGACTTGCAGGGCCCGGGTCGGCACTTGAAGGGCCCATGTCGGGACTTGCAGGGCCCGGGTCGGGACTTGCAGGGCCCGGGTCGGCACTTGAAGGGCCCAGGTCGGGACTTGAAGGGCCCAGGTCGGGACTTGAAGGGCCCGGGTCGTTCCTTGGATATATAAACATAATTAAGTAAACGTATACAGTACAGGTTGACAATCCCTTATCCGAAATCCTTGGGGCCAGAGGCATTTCGGATTTTGGAATTTTTCGGTTTTCATAGGTCTAGGTCGTGTTTCTCACTTTTATCATTTTTCATTCTTGTATATTTCTATATTATTATTAGTATTAGTATTATTTTATTAATACAGTATCATTGTTATTATTATTATTATAAATTTTATTATTATTATTGTTATCATTATTATTTTATTTTGGTGTACAGTTGTCCCCTACTAACGCGGTCAATTGAACCCAGAGGGTCCCGCGTTAAGTGAAATCCGCGTTAAGTGAACAACAGAACATATGGGATTAATTCCAATAGAAACCGGCCCGACCCCCAAACTCCACTTTTTGAAGGCACATACCTATGTTGTAGTAAAAACAACATCTTAATTTTATGATGGTACATGCACACAATTAATACTTAAGAGAAATAGAGAAATACAGTCGCCAAGTTAATGTCCATTCAAATAATGGACTCAACTCCCTCCCCCTCTCACACTACACTGCCGGCTCTTCCCTCAGAGAAATTTTTGGGGGAAAACCACTAAATTCTAATAAATAATACCTCAAACTAAAGTTAGGATAATACAATTGACATTGCTGGATTCCTTGTAAGACCAGGAATATTTTGAATATAAATGTCATATATTTTGCACAAAAGATAACATAGTTACCTAGAGAAAAAATTTTATCTAAAATTTGTATGTTTAATGCAAAATATATGATGTTTATATTCAAAATGATCACCAAATTATAAGAATTCCAGCAATGTAAATTATATTCTGACCGGGTAATTTGTATGAATTTTATGAGCTAAAACAAATATCTTCAGTTAATAAAAAAAAAAATAATCTTCACGACACTATCTGTCAATCAAAGTACCCCACCTTGCCTCCCCCCCTCTTCCAACCGCGCGGTCAGTCCCAACCCTCCCCCCCACCCCCCACCAATCCTCCCTTCCAGGGTTTTTAACATTTAGTATTAAATAATACCTCAGATTAAAGTTAGGATAATATAATTGACATTGCTGGATTCCTTGTAAGACCAGGAATATTTTGAATATAAATGTCATATATTTTGCACAAAAGATAACATAGTTAATTTGAGAAAAAATTTTATCTAAAATTTGTATGTCTAATGCAAAATATATGATGTTTATATTCAAAATGATCATCAAATTATAAGAATTCCAGCAATGTAAATTATATTCAGACCGGGTAATTTGTATGAATTTTATGAGCTAAAACAAATATCTTCAGTTAATAAAAAAAAATAATAATTCTTCACGGGGTAACAGATGGTCGGTCGGTCCCTCCCTCCCCCCCACCCCCCACCAACCGTCCCAAGGAGATGTGTGGGATAACCACTAAATTTTAATAAATAATACCTCAAACTAAAGTTAGGATAATATAATTGACATTGCTGGATTCCTTGTAAGACCAGGAATATTTTGAATATAAATGTCATATATTTTGCACAAAAGATAACATAGTTACCTAGAGAAAAATTTTTATCTAAAATTTGTATGTCTAATGCAAAATATATGATGTTTATATTCAAAATGATCACCAAATTATAAGAATTCCAGCAATGTAAATTATATTCTGGCCTGGTAATTTGTATGAATTTTATGAGCTAAAACAGGCAGTCAAGCAGGGTGGCGGGTGGGGCAAATCTAAAAATAGCGTCTCGAGCCGGACACTCACCGCGTATATGTGGAAAAAATCCGTGTTTAGTGAAAGTTCAGCTCTGGCGAGGCACCGCGTATATGATAAAACGCGTTAAGTGAAACCGCGTTAGGCGGGGTAATACTGTATATTTTTTAATTAAAATTTTTATTTACTATGAATAATTAGCATTAATATAATTATTACTATTATAATTAGTATTATTATTACATTTTCGCCCCCCAGGCCCCCAATGTGGGTCAGTGATCTATGCCTGGGAGGGCTAATCCCTGTTAAAAAAATGCTCCACAAAAAACTTTCGGTTTTCGGAATTTCGGATAGAGGGTTGTCAACCTGTACTGTATTAGGTACAAGTGAGCACAGTACAGCATGCCCTTAAAATTCAAGGGGGTTAGGTTCTCAAAATGGTCACGAATCACCAAATCCGCTAATAACATTTGCTGACCAGGAAGGGGGGGGGGGGAGAACATTTTTACTTGTGTACTAAGAAATGTATATTCCCTTTATGTGTTTGTTCTTAGGGCATTTATTTCTTTTAACTGTATTATACTGTATAAATGTGTGTGTGTGTGTACACACGCACACACAAAACACATACAAATATAAAATTATAGCAAAAATCCTCTCACAAATAATCAGAAACAAGACAACAACAAAATTTTTATAATGTGAGTCTACCCTCAAGTCTACTCCATGCTTTGTTATAACTTTAATAACAAAGCATGGAGTTGACTTGAGGAAAGACTAAACATTTTTAAAGCATTTTTTGTTATCTTGTTTCTGATTATTTTTGAGAGGATTTTTGCCATTATTATTTACTTGTACAGTGAGTTCTGTTATAACGCGTGTTTTGATAACGCGAATTTGCTCTAGCGCGATTTATGAATTAGGAACGATATTTGTATAACGCGAACGCTTGTTTGCTATAACGCGATTTTTGCTTACTATTTCTCCAATTTTGTGGTACAGTATTAACTGTGAATATAGTAAAGAAGAATATCAACAAGAAGCGTTCTGGTGATAGAAATCCCGGTGATGATCGTAAAAGAAAGGATATAACACTTGAAGAGAAGCTCGATTTTATCAACCTCAAAATCACCCTTCTCCCCCATCAAGTAAAGTATTACATTTACTGTATGATTTCATTATTAGATATGAATGTAACATTTATTTAGACTGTGCTATCCTTTGTGTTAGGCTAACTACTAAATTTTTTCGATTTCGAGTACTCTGCACCTAACCCTATTTTCTCCATAAGCCCTGTTATTTCTATTACGTGATTTTCTATAACATGATATTTTACAAGAACACAATTATCGCGTTATAGCAGAACTACCTGTATGTGTTTTTGTGTGTGTGTGTGTGTGTGTGTGTGTGTGTGTGTGTCTACACACACATACAATAAAAGAAATTACTGTCTCTAAAATGAATGGCTCCCTGTCCCGGCCGTGAAAATGCCAGCAACTTCAAAACTACCCTAGACATTCTTGGGTACTTCCAGGGTATCATTTGCGAATAATAGAGGACCGTAAATTAAAAATCCGTGAATTGTCAGGGCTTGCTGTACAGTACATATAAGAAAATTGAAAACTGTGGAGTAGATAAGTTCATTGGTCTTGTGGGAGACTGCATGCAAAAGGCAAAATTTAGGTGGGGGGGAAAACAGGCCATGTGCATTAGGGTGTGTCATAGGAGGGAAGATCAGCTAAAACTAATGGCCCATCACTTTTTTGGTAGATTTTAGTGTATATAAACAGAAAATAATTTCAGTTTCAATATCATGCAACCTTTTGCTAGGTAAATTTTAGCGTAAAATTTATCGAAAATCTAACGTACAGCTGCATTAGTGCATTACAATTAAATAGTGAACATTGCTTTCTGACTTCATTCTTTAACAACCCAACTAACATTAATTTTTTCTGTTTCAGATTCTGATGCATTTATAAGTTGATAATATTTGCGATGGCTGCTTGTGTCAGGACGAGGAACCAAAAATCCAGCCATCTCAGTCACTATCTTGGGTCTGGGAGAGAGCTCCTGAAGTCGGAGTTGCCTACATTGAGAGATGCTTTGAGATACGGTGCTTTAATCAGGCAAATCAGTGAAAAGAACCAAAGAACTTACACAAACAAAGACATTGCCAGTGATATGACCAAAGCTGTCTTGGCACAGTATACTGGCTAACGCTCAGTTCAAGCCTCCAGTCATAACAAGTCAGAAGAAGATTAGTGAGAGACTGCTAGCCAGTTGGGAAAAGGCAAGAGATATCTCTCTTGGGAGAGGAAAACTTGCAGTTAAGGACAGCTTTGCCAAGCAACTGGACCAGTTATTTGACATAATTACTTGCAAGTGCCCAATTGTTCTCTGTCCTGAGTTTGGATGCGATCGTGACTGTAAATCCGAGGCCCACATCTCCTGTATTTGCAAGCGTGAACTGAAGATTCCTGTGATCGAACTGGCATTTGTCAAAGCACAGAGAGAGAAGACTGGCAGTATAGGGGCTCTCATGATTTCTAGCCAAGATATTCCGGAGTCCAAGAGACAGGAGGCTGCCACAGAGAGACAGAAGAGGAGAAGAGTTGCCGAGGAAAAGAGACTTGAGAAGGCCCAGGGTGAGGTAAAAAAGGCCGATGATTGGAGTCAAGCTGATTCAGAGTTTAATGACTTCCCCATGGCTGATCCGAGTGCTGACAAGGAGAATGGTGACTTTGTCCCTAACCCAGAAAATAATGATCCCAAACCTTCCAGGCATAAGATTCGAAATAGGAAAGATATCCCGAGCATAGCTCTGGCCAGCATGCGACACCACACTGGTCTCAGAGAAACTGCAGAGATAGCAACAGCTGCCTGGATTGACGGTGGTTTGATAACACCTGATGATGTTCACCTGGTGATAGATCATAACAAAGTAAGGAGAGCTAAGGAGAAACTTGTCAGTAACCTAGAAGAGGAGTTTGATAAGGGGATAAGAGAAAATGGAATTAATTGTTTGTTCTTTGATGGGAGAAGGGATGACACTAAAGTGTTCCTGAAAGTTGGAGATTCTGACAAGTTGTTCCCTGCCATGGTGAAGGAGGAACACTACTCTTGCTGCAGTGAACCAGGAGGGAAGTATTTGTGGCATTTCACTCCAGAGAAAGATGACATCAGGAAACCAGCTGAGATAGTGGCAGATAACATTGTGAACTGGCTCAGAGAGAGGAATGTAGACCAGACCCTGCAGGCCATTGGAGGGGACAGCACCAACACGAACACAGGGTGGCAAGGG